GAGATTATTAGAGAGGTTTAAGCACAAAATTTGCAGTGGCACCTTGTAGAAAATGATTCAATCTGGATTCTTGGCAGCTAATTTTGTCTGAAATAGACGCAGTCCTTCCCAACAGAACAAAAAAAAACCCAAGTCCCAAACAAAACCCAAAAACAGCAATAAGAAACTAGCATACTGAAATGGTATAAATTAGTTAAAAAGTAAGTAGTTTGAATGAAAATAACTTTTCTGTGTTAGCACTCAGTATTTGAGTTCACTACCTTTTCTTTCTGTAAGAAAGTCCAATTTTATTGAAAAGTCTGAGAAAGGGTTAAGGTTGTTGCTTGTTAGGACCTTTGTGAAATTCACTTGCAAACACAGCAATCCCACAGATAAGCAGGAGGCCAGAGCACATTCTGTGAAGATGATATCCCCCGATTGAACCCTTTGTCTGTCCTACTAATCCAATCTAGGAATGTCCAGGTATCCTGTGGTTGTGCTGATAACGCCCGATTAGCAGAATAAGTTACGAAATACATCTGCTTCTGGGAGAAAGGTGAAGAGTTTACAGTGATGAAGACTATGAGCCTTCCTCCTCACGACCCCCCGAAGACCACCAGAGGGTCATAGGGCGCATGCCCAGATAGGAGGGGTTGTATGCTAATGATTTTTGGAGGAATCCCTGCTTCTAATTAATGAGTTCTCAGATATCTCATGAATATGGATGAATAGATAGCATATAAACAATCACTTTGTAACAAAAAATTGGAGTCCTCCCAAGGAATGATCCTGGGGACACCCTGCACGTAATAAAGAATACTTGCTTTCTAAAACTCAAAGAGGAGTCTTAGAGAGTGAACTTATTTTCCAGCTTTCTTGGAATCAAGTCTTACCAAAATCTGAAAAGCAAATAGGCTTGTACATGAGTGAGTTTATAATGGAGAAGGAAGTTGTTTCAAGGGGTGCTTATAAACCAGGTATAAAACCCATTACAGGCCTTAAGAAAGCGAGTTTGTAAAAGGCAAGGATTGTAAAACAAAGAAATTTGTAAGTTGCATTTTAAAAGAGTTATCATTAATATCAAAGTTAATTAATTGTTACCATTAATATCATAAAATGCAGTACAGAATGTTACTAGTGACACAGTAAGTATAAAAGCTATTAGGAAGCACTGCTTTAAATTTAACTCTTGAGGGACCTTCTGTATCAAACATAATTATTCTTTATTTGAACAGAAAAAGGCTTTACTGTACTTTAGACAGAATTTTATGTTGATTTAAAAAGGATGAGACAGCCTTGTGACAAGCCAAATATAATTTACTTATTATTTTGCAGCTACAGTAAAATGTTCAGAAACTATACAAAGACTTTAGACAGTAAACATGTATTTAATAAAACTGTGCATCAGTTACACCGGATCCTGGAAGGAGTTCCCAGTACAACTTCATGAATCTGCTTGTATCGCAGAAAAGCTTCCAGTTGGACATACACATTCACAACAAACTCATTTGGTCCACCACTGAGCTCTTCCTCCCTTTCATCTTGCAAATGTGTATGCTCTTTTGCCTGCCTCCTCAGCAGGCGTTTACCTAAAAGATAAAGTAATGATACTAAATTTAAAGACAACAAGGTCTTTGAGAGATAAAACTGTGTAAGTAAAGGTTTTAAAATAACATTGTTTTTAATTTAGCTAAACGAGACATGCTTGAAGGCTTGCTAACATCCATTTCTGAGCAGATTCCACACTGGCATTATTACCTAAAAGCCGTCCATGCAGCCTCTGTTGGCCTCATATCTACTTGAAAAGACATCCAAATGGGTGGGGGGGAATGTTATGGAAAGAAGCTTATCCTTTTCTAGGGAACTGAAATACTAGTGTGTGTGCTTTCTGGAACATGAACTTTATCTCACAAGACTGACAGGTATTAACCACCTGCATGTGTGTGGGGTGGTGGGTTTTTTTGGTTGTTGGTTGGTGTTCGTTTTTTTTTTCCCCCAACAATTACAAGTGATACATGAAAAAGAATTGTTTACTTAAGTCTTAAAAGCAAATTAAATCATACTATATATACATTCGGTGTCAAATGAAGCTCCCACTACCCAAACTAATTAACACCAGCAAAAAGTTCAGGCAGCTGTAAGAAATTCAAAGACCAGGGCTTTTTTTAATAGTTTTTGCCCCCCTTTTTAAGTAATTCTGATTTTCATGCTATACTACAGTTCAAGACTTGCATAGCTATATCACTGTAACAGAAAAAAAGATTTTTACTAAGTCTTTGAACAACTTCATTAATTTTCCTTCTTTTTACTGGTAAGTATCTACTTTAAACAATATGATAACCATTTGATAGAAATGCCAGAAAAGCTTCAGTCACTACTGGGCAGAACTTTAAATTAGCAGCCAAAAAAGATGAGGAGTTCTGAATAATTTTTTATCGTCAGATGTGTTCAAAAATCTTTGCGTATTAACTTCCATGCAATTAAAAGTAGAAGCTCACCACTTCTGAGCCAAAACCTTTTAACACCCTCCTGGCCCCATTTACCCCCTCCTTTACTGAACGGATCTAACCACTTTCTTTTTCTGTTTTGGTAAATTTTGCAAAAGGAGAACAAAACACTCCATTCTACCCTAAACTTCAATTATCACTGTTTAAAAAAAAACCCACACACCAACAATCCAACAAAAAAACGCCAGTTCAAATACAGCAGATTTGGAATTACCTTCCTCATCCACCTCCAGCCATTGGTGGTGGACTGGGGCCTCCACCCCACTGATTTATTCGACCCATCCTACGGCGAGGTTGTGCTGGAGGCCTGAAAAGATCACAAGGAAAACAACATCTATTCAGTTGGCATTAAATTGTTAAACTAGAAATAGAGTAAGTCTCTAAATGACAGTAATTAGAAAGTTAGAACCTCTGGAAAAGTTGTTTTGGTTGGTTTTTTAAAAGCTGTACAAAAACCCAACAAAAACCAACAAACCACCCCCACTTTCATGAAAATTCTCTTATGCAAACTGTTCTAATAGAGGCTTTTACACAATCCTGCAAAGAAGTTAGACAAACCATTAAGAAGAAACACTGTAACTACAGTGTTTATAGAAATTATATCCCTATGACAAAGTGTTTTGCTTTATCTGAAGGTAATCTAATACATGAAATGTCTAATTTAATGTAAATCAAATACTGAGTATAAGCAAGTCTAACAAAAGAAGAATTTCAACAAAGATGTGTGTTGTCTGCCAGACAAATTTTAAAAATTGTTTCAGTGACAGTTACTGCTATTAAGCTATCCAAAGCTATGCATTGTTATCAACGAGCTTTGGACAAGATAGCGTAGATAAACAACATTTTAGTCTTCTTGCATGACCTGAGTGAATGCAAATCACAACTGTAATCTGGATACATTATGTCATTTAGCTAAGACATATATATATATATATAAAAAAATCAGAACTAGTGTGAATATGAAAAAATACCCTCTTCCATCATTGTATCTTGAATAGGAGGAAGATGTGTAGCCTCTTCTTCTCAAATCTGGTTGAATAATGCTCTGGAAACTAAAAAATAAAACAAGAATTAGGTGAATTAATTGTTAGATATAGGTTCTGAATTTTTGGATTGCAAGATAAGAGATGGGCTGAAAAACAATAAGCAGTGTTCAGGAATGAACAGTGTATCTTCTCGAGGTTACAGTTTAATAAATCTTTGCAATTTTTCTCCTAGATATGAAGATAAAATTGAGGTAATTCCAAATTACAGTAAGGCTCAAGCCATTAGATCTATTTTTTCTAGTAAATAAAGTGCAAGAAATGCATAAAGTATAAACCTGTAACTGAAATAATGAAGGCCTGTTGAATACAGGAAAATAAAATTTATTTCTTAACTGGCTTCAATCTGGGCACATAAATTTGTCATTACCGCTGTGTGATTATTTTTACATAGCCAGAATCTATTAGCACCAGTAGAAATTCTCCAAATAATATGTTAATCACTTGATCAGCTATCAGAAACTAGCCCTTTATTAAAAGTTTATGCTTCTTCTTTTTGCAGTATTAAAATGGAAAAAATGTAAGAAAACTCATTTTAACTGCCAGAAAGTTAGCATCATTTTTTCATATACTTTTTATTAAATATACTATAATGCTTACTAACAAAAGTCATATTAAAGCATTCATACACATTCTGGGGACAGCAGGTGTGAAATGCTAGAGTAAACCTGACATTTTTGGTTTTGTGTTACTGGTAGCACTGAGTAGCTTCTACCTATGGCTCATCTAAAATAAAGCTCATCAAAATAATTAATTTCTACTTACAACAGAACCACAAAATCAGCTATTGACCAGAAGAAATCTGTTATAGATGACAAACGCCAAGGAGCCCGACTCCGGTTATCCAAAACTTGTCCTGTAATGTATCAAGATACAAAACATCCAGCGATATTTAGTGTGTGATACTCTACAACATATTATGCAAAAACACATCTGCTACATTTAGAACTTGCAAATAGGATGGAAAACTGCACTTCACAGGGAACAGTAGCCAGTTTTATTGTCTGCAGGGTACTGTCCGAGGGCTTGAAGGAATTGGATCACCTCCACCAAACAAGACACTGTGTCAGGTAAATCCACCAAAAAACACCCGTGCAGCCTCTGTTTCCTTGAAGGCAGTTAAGCTGCTTCTCTGTTACGCTCCCGATGTATACAGAACACGCCTGGACTTTTCGAAGTCCTTAAAAACTGTTCAGGAGTCCGTAAGTCTCGAACCGCGGCCGCCGGGGAAGAAAATAGGTGGTGAGGTTTGTTTGACAGCGGCAGCGGGGTCGGCCGTCTCGACCGCCGGGATGCGCGGAAGCAACGCTCTACCCAGCGCAGGCCCGATCTTGCCCAGCTCG